GCCGGCCCCGCCGCCGGCCCCGTCCGCGCCTGCGAACAGCATCTTGTACACTCTCACGTTACATAACCAGAAACTTCATTGTGCAGTGGGACTTACACAATTTGAAGCTAAAGGTATCACACAAACCTAGAATTATCCAAAACCAGACAAGTTCCATATTTTGGTTTCAGTTTTCGGTAAATATAAGTAAATATTTATTGAGAATGGATATGAGTACAAGAGCATATAAGAAACCAATCTATTTACGCAAAATAGATCGGAAATTCTATATTGAACAAATTAGATCGCAGTTTCAGTATATACTTTCGGGGAATCGCACAATATTCATTACGTAAAATTAATGTGTGAATTAAGGAACGAATTTTTGTAGCATTTCAAGAGTATTTTATTGATCATTTTTGGAGAATATTTAGTCCATCAAAATCCGCTCCCTAATGATGAGAATAATGAGTAGCAATTTACGTCAATTTTAACATCAACACATCACTGTTTCTTACCCTCGATCCACAGGAACTCTTTGAGGCGCCGGCAGCGGTCGTCTTGGAAGCGAAGCGCGCTCGCGCACGCCGCCGCCCGCCCCGCCTCACGGAGCGCATCGCCCACCGCCGCCCACAGGAAGCCCACGTCGCCCTCCGTCAAGGCCACGCCGGCCGCACTGCCCACGCCCTCGCCCTGCGCCCAGGCCTTCACCCGCACCACGAGCCGCTCCGTCAGCCACTCGGAGCGGGGCACTGCCCGCTCCAGCGCGGCGTTTACCTCCGCCTGCAGCTGCGCGTCCAGACCCTCCACGGGCGACTGTCGGCACAGCACGCGCAGCCGCGGGAGGAAGCCTTCCTGGAACAGCCGCTCGTCCTCCGGCGGCCCCTTCGACACGCACTGCCACACCTGCAACAGCCGCCACACCCCTCAAGAGCACACATTCCTCCACATGCACTGCCACACCTGCAACAGCCGCCACACTCCTCGAGAGCACGTCCCTCCACATGCACTGCCACACCTTCAACAGCCGCCACACCCCTCAAGAGCACACATCCATCCGCATGCACTGCCACACCTGCAACAGCAGCCACACCCCTCAAGAGCACGCACCCCTCCACATGCAATCCACACCTGCAACAGCTACCACTCACCCTCAAGAGCACACCCCTCCGCATGAAATGGCACACCTCCATTACCACTACACACCCGCAAGAGTTATATCCCTCCACACGAAATGCTACTCCTTCAACAACCACAATGGCATACCCTCAAGAGTACGTCCCTCAACTTGCAATGCCACGCCACCACAGACATGCTCTTCCACACCTGCAACAGCCCCCACACAGCCTTAAGAGCACATTCCTCTACATGCACTACTAGACTTGCAACACACACACACACACACGCGCGCGCGCGCACACACTCAAGAGCACATCCTCTCACATTCACTGATACATCTGCAACAACCCTCAATATCACATGCCTCCATATGCAATGCCACGCCTGCACCAGTCACAACATCTTGAGAATCACATCCCTCGTCAGGCACTGTCACACCAGCAACGTGATCACAAAACCTACGACGTCTGTATAGAATACTTCTTACTTTCAAACGTCGTAAGCGAGAGTGACTAGTTACAAACACCAATCAAAGCCGCTTTGTGTCTGTAACGCGTTCATCAGGGGCAAACATTAAACCTCAGAACGTGCTTCTCGTACCGTGTCGTCGGTAGCGTCGAACGCAACGCACTGTCCTTGCGGGTGCGTCTGCAGCTCGTCCTGGTAAGGCATGGCGATGGCGGGCGGCGGGCGCTGGCCTGCGCCGTACACGTCGGCCGGCGTGTAGATGACGAACCACACGTGCTCGAGGGGCGTCTGGCACAGCAGCCGCTGGTCCTCTGTCAGCGGCGTCTGGCGCTGCGGGTCGCGCCAGCTCACCAGCTCCTTGTACAGTTTGAAGTACTTCTGCAGCCCGAAGTCGCCTTTGTCGCCCTTGAACGCCTACAGCATTTATTTCCATATTAGAACAGAAAAGGGCAAAAAAACATTAGATAAAACTCAAAAACGGGACGGAAAGTTTGTAAATTATGGGTGCGTTATTGATGGACGAGAAGAATGTAAGTCCTTATCTAAAGGAAGGGAACGGATGCGTTTATGCGTAATGTACAAAACATACGTAGGGGACTGTGCATGGGCAGGTATCGATAAAAGATTACAGAAACCATATTATAAAAGCAGAGGAGACCATCCTTGGAAAATACGATGTAGAAAACAAAGAACTGATATAGGAAAGTTCTCTTTAGTGAATTGAACTGTAGTGGATTGGAACAAGCTACCTGCAAAAGCGCTAGAGGCTCTTCGTTACAATAAAGTCAGATTTAAAAATATACTTTATTCCATCTAGATCATCACTAATAATACTGAGACATTTATTTCCATCTAAATTATTATTATTATTATTATTATTATTATTATTATTATTATTATTATTATTATTACGGCCATTTACCATACACAGTGAAGTGTAGTGGTGTAGTGTGGTGAAGGGGAGTGCAGTGTTAGATAAACTAGAAGTCAATTTAGAGATAACTAGAAATTAATTAGAACTAGGATATCAACCTCTAATTCTCATTGTAATTCTAATTGTAAATGTTTGTAATTGTTTTGTAATTGTTCTCATTCTAATTGTAATCATGTTTGCCACCCACCATTAGCTCAAAGCAAACTTTAATAAATCTATCTATCTATCTAGTCCGCCGAGTCGTTCTTTTTCATGGGCAAGGTGAACAAACCAATCGAAACTATGACCATAACGACTTCGCTCAACAAAATGTGTATTTTTCTCAATTACATAAAAAGGTATTAGAAACTCATTTGTAATGTTAACATTGGTGTACGGCGTCAGATCTCTGGGAACAGGGATTACTTTCGGCCATGATCAAGAAGTGCAACTAAATTGCATCTGTTTTAATACATTATACAGTGTGACCAGTGATTTTTATGTACGAATCCAAGTACGCATGCAAGTAAGTAATGCAAGAATGCAAGTACGAATGCAAATAAGTGCTAATAATGTCATATAATTAAGAACATTTATCACTATCCTTACAAAAAATTTAAAGAAAAAATTCGGACACGTTTTCGTGAAAATAGCTGAAATTGAGAAATGTTTAACTCCCGTTCACAGACAATATCGATTTTTCGAGAAAATTCAAGAAATCGTTTAATGCCCTTGCACTTGCGGTTTGGCTTCAGTGCTTTCATCAGTGGGAGAATATTTTCATCCCGATTACACGCAGAAAATAAAATAACTGGTCAAACGCTGATACTTGTGGCATTACAATACTCGATCACTCAATTTCATAACTAGAAGAGACATAAGTTTTTCAACTCAAAAGACATTTCTTTTCAATCATCATACAACCATGTATTGCCAGGGTTCTTTTGACAATATACTGTCTGTGTTCATAATCTCAGAATCTAATCCTTAAGATGAGAAGGCACCATGAAGTGGGTCAAATGATAGTTCAAACCTTGCTATTTCCAAATATATTAACATTTTTTCTTCTAGGATGCCTGTAAGTTCCTTTAATTATTATTTAAATGCCCTAATGCGCATTAGTCATGTCTTCTTTTTTCACACTGCATACAAGTATGGTTATCGTAATTTTGAAGCATGTTGGATTGTTAATGAGTTACTGAAACACACTCTTGTTCATACATTGGTAGCAGTGTTTTTTTTTCGCTGGAAAACATGGTTCAGAATATGGTGCAGGAATTTCTAGTAGAGCTGTGACAAGTACAGACTTTTTTTCATATGACATTTCCCGAAAATGTACTTATTTTGTTAATATTGTACTTTTTCCCAGAAACTGTAGTTCAGAATTCATTAACATTTACAGGATACATTCATTATAACATTGGAAATAATTTGACGTTTTAAATAAACTTTCTTCAATAATAAAAAATTATTACATTGAACATTACATACAATTCCACTGTCAGCTAGGTCGAATTCAGTTGCTTCTGGAGAAGAATTCTAGCGGCCGGCTGTTCTGATCGGTAGTTTTTCGTGTTTTTTTCATCATTTGAATGCCGGAGCAGTACCCTAACAAAAGGGCCACGGTCCGCGCGCGATCTTTCCGACCTCTTCCTTGGCCTATCCTCACCATTTACACTAACATGCACTTTTTTCACACATGCGGGGAGACCGACAGCTTAGAGCTTGTTCCGGCTGTGGCGGTGCCCGATGGTGGCAGATACTCGCTGTGTCTACGGCATGTTCTTAAGTCCCCTTCCGACGTAGACACAGCCGCGCGCTTCCCATAAACGGCAAGGCACTTCTCACGGGGCCACCGCCGCAAGCCACCAGCGCACAGTCGCCAGCCGTGGAAGAGGGATGGTTCGGCGCGGGTAGTTTTTATCGACCCTTCGGCGACGACAAACAAAGAAATGCAGCAGGGGAGTGTTCCAATCGAAGCAATGCTTTGCTAGCAGTGGCGCCGAATCCCTGCCGGGCTACTCGTGGCCAGCGCCGGCCGCCGAAAGACACAGCAGCGCGAATCCGCCGCAAGCACCAACAATAATGATGATGCAAATATTCTTAATGTCACCAAATATTACAATTTACCTTCAGCTCCTGAATGCCTGGCGGACCTAACCGGTGAGAGGACATTAAATGGCGGCGGTTTCGCGACTCTGCGTCTAGTGACTCTAGCCCTCACCTGCGCGGAGAGCTGCCTGGCGGGGTCCTTGTGCTTGAGCTGCAGGGCGAGCAGCGCCGGCGCGGGCCGCGCCACGCGCAGCACCAGGTCGTCGAAGGGGCGCGCGGCGGCGGCGTTGGAGAAGAGCTGGAAGCGCGCGCCCGCCCGCCGCATGCGCAGCGCCAGCAGCGCCGCCATCTTCACCTCGTAGTCGGTGCCCCGCGCGTCCGCGCTGCCCGCCAGCCGCGCCATGCTGGCCGGCCTGCCACAAACGCTCCCGTTGCAAACTAGCTACCTCTACCGGCTTAGAGCATCAATTTGCGCGCGGACATGGTGTAACGGTTAGCGTACCCAAGTTGGCGGGTTCAAACCCGGTCGAAGCCGTGGGTTTTTAAGGGCTAAAAAATCCTTCGTACGCCTTCCTTCGGAGGGGAAGTAAAGCCGGCTGTCCCATGGTAGTAGATTTACTTGCATGTGATGTAAAAGATCCTCAAGCCTTAATGACGCCTCAGAGCTAAATTCAAATCGCCTGTTTCTCGCCCAAAAATTACCTCCTTTCTCTGGTAGTTGGTGAGAGGAGCGTAGCGAAATTAGCGTGGTCAGACGGAAGAGCAGGCCTCATGACTTGAGTCTCACCACGTAAAATAAGGTATTCAATTCAATTCAATTGACGGCTCTGCAGGGCCTCTGACTGGGAGGTTCTAAGCCTACGCTTCCAAAGGTGGCAGGATTTTTTTTCACACTAGCTAAGGTCGAATCCTGTTAAGTAAGGTCGAATTCACCTGCTGTTTGGAGGAGATTTCTAGCGGCCGACTGCTCAGATCGCTAGTTTTCCGTGCGTTCTCCTGTTAATACCAAGTGAATGCCGGAACAAAGCCCTAACAAAAGGGCCACAGACCGCGCGGGATCTTTCCTTTCTCTTCCTTGTCCTATTCCTCACGTACACAGACTTACAGTTACATTCACTACACTACCACGCATGAGAGGAGACGGTTCGGGAGCTTAGAGCTCCTCCCGGCTGGGGTGATGCCCCGCTGGTGAGAGTTACCTAGTTGGAGAAAACAGACAAGTAAACGTGTCAGGTTGGCGCCGGATCTCATCATTCAGCGGAGGAAGATACGAGACTAAGCAGCAAACGTCTGAGCAGTTGACACACCCGGAATCACTAATCAACCATTAATGCAGGCAGAGTTCCTAAATTTAAGCGTAACAATTGCAATATCAAATTTGACGACAATAACATTTTAGGATTTATTTTTAACTCGCAATTTACATAGAAGAAACATTCAATACGTAGTTGATAATTGTAAGAAAGGCATGAACATCTTAAAATGTTTTTCTGACAACAATTGGGGTGCTGATAAGAGCCTTCTTTTGTTATCCTAAAGCATTAATACAATCTAAAATTGACTATGGCGCTATTTTATAAGCTTTAGCAAACAAAATGATTAGCAAGAAACTGGAACTTGTGAACAACAAATTACTTACAATATGCACCTTCCCTGGATGTTTCCATATAAGTCCCATCGGAAATGCACTTATAAAAGCTAAAGAACCTCACCTTTCACATGGCAGAGAACGGTGGTCAACTGTTTGATCAAGTCAGTTGTGGTTAAGCAAATTCCTGAAGGTGCAGGAATTTCCGGAAGTAAAATTGCAAAATTCAAGGCTGGATATAATACCGAAGAAAACACCAATGCGTTTATTAAAACTTCCTGAATATTCAATGACACTTGAAAACATATTGGGGTCGTAATGGAAGATAGGTGGAACAACAAGTGATCCGTGCTCAAAGCCATTTACCTCCAAAAACAAAGAAGAAATTTCTTTACATTAAAAACAAATGCAGAAATAAATAAAAAGAACAAATAGTAATTTCTAGAATGCGAACTGATCAATGCAAATTGAGTCATACACAACAAAAGCCTCACTCCCATCTAAATATTATTACACTCCACTCTTCGTAACATATACTATAATGTATCATTGCCCATATTTTAGACGGACGTTTAAAAAAACACTTTTCCTATATAAGGGATTTTCCAAAATTTTGCCCCCCCCCCTCGATTCGTTGCACGCGCTATACCTGTACAAGGTAGCTATTTGTATTGTATACCACAAGGTGAGTCCCAACCTCTACATATATAACATGGCTTGCTACCATACCACGGTGCCTTGTCACAAATCAATGATTTTAGAAAATTCCATGGACTGAGTGTTGTTATTGATGTTATAATTAATTGTGATATTTATGTGTAAGATAAGCTCTATGTGACTTATGAGTAATTATTAATTTTTAATAAGTTCTTATGTAGATACTATCTGATTTTGTAATGAATGCTTGTAAAGTAAATGTAATATTTCTTGTTTCTTAAACTAATTGCCCTTTGTTATTTTCAAATGATCTTTTTATAGCTTTATTGCATGAGTACACGTTTTGAAAACGAGCAACGTCAGGAGCGAGTTTGAACAAATGCATTTGATGCTTTTGAACAAATGCAATACATTTAAACATTTGCAATAAAGCATTTTTATTTACATTTGAATAAATGCAATAAAGCAATATTATAAACGAATTTCGTACGCTATTTTTTGTGTAACAGCATTGTAAATTTATAAGAGAATCAAACATATATTTGTGAAACAACTTTCTTGTGACGTCTCGGGCATTTGACATCTGTGCGAGAAAACGGTGATCGACTGTTCCGTTTACCTCTACCTCTCCACGATTATCTTGCTGTGATTGTTGACGTAATAATTCCTGCCGTAAAATGCTAATTCGTCATCACTTGGGTAGTAAAATGCCCGATTATGAACGATTTCGTGCAAAAGAAAAGGTCGTTTATGATGCTGGTATAAATTTTGTAATGTCGACAACCCGCACAACATGGCGGTAAGGCGGGTAGTATCGGCGCCAGGCAACACAGCACAAGGCGAGGACGGTGGCAAGGAGCAGGGTGGATTTGAGCAGACTCGGGCAAGCTATGACAGAGCAGGGCATAGTGGAGCAGGGCAGAACAGGATAGACTATGGAGAGGATACACTAGACATAATGTATTCCTTTTCTTTCAGAATAGGTAAAAAAAGGTAAACAAATATACTGTCAAATGAATGGTTTCGATTTTAAACCTTCCATGCGATTTAATCGCAAGGTTTCCACTAGTTAAAAGAATTCATGGAAATGTAAACATACAACACTGTTGTTGCTTTCCTACTCGAATTCAAAATTTGAACGAATTTTCAGCCAGAGGAACTTTGTAAAAACAAAGCACAGGAATAGAAAAAAGGCGCCGATGTTTAAAACTTTTTTCCATACTATTTGGTGTACAAACGAAAGATAATGTCACATTTACGCCTTCACGAAAAGAGATTTGAACACAATAGAATTAACAGCCGATTACAAATACTGAAGAAAAATATTTTAATTCGTTAGTTTATCATTTTCATTTTCATTCAAATATATCAGTAGATATGCTGTATAGTTGTGCAACATTTACATGCTTAAAGTAAGATTTTTAATGTTAGCGGAAATTTAAATTACTCTGACAGAAAATAAGTAGCTCTGTTTACGATATTTTTGGGGAAACGTAAAAGCCATCTACCATTCCATTTCAAATACAAAACGGCAACACTGTTCCCAAGACTGTCCGCGCTCATGATAGGATGAATCCAGTTAGTTGTACTTACTCTTCAACTTGATAAACATTCGCCATTTTGATCTGCAAAAAAAGGAAATATATTTTAGTGGAAGTAAAATACGAGTAGAGTCAATAAAACAAAGCTACATGTATTTTGCAGATTCAAGACATATTGACTATATGCAACAAAATTATTTCTAAATTTACACTACCATTAAAACTAACTGTAAAAAATCGAATATAATTTTTATAACCTATTTGTAAAACTAATCGTTTACCCAATATTTTATTGTATGTATTTTGAAGAATAATCTTCGCCGATTTTTACGAGACTATGACTGCGAATTTAATAACAACGGTGGCGACACTGGCGTCTCTTCAGCCGACATTCGACTCACCCAAAAACTTGCTACTGTTGCGACAACTGGTTGACCCCAGAGAACAACAAGCAGGCGGAGAATATACTGAAAAATATAGTATCACCAGTTGTTAACATAACCTAATGTTAAAACGCTTAAGCAAACGCGCGACGTAAAGAGTACGTCCATTTTATTTCCTTGATTTAGAGCAAATTAAAATGCACCGAATACTTTAACATAACGTTTTTATTAACTCTCGTACCATATCAGGTGTCTTTTTTGGACCCTTCATCATTAATTTGTTAATATTTTCCTGAATACTGGCAGAATAATTTCAGTCTTCCAGATATGCCTTCGTGCACTTATTAAGCAGGTGCCAAACAATTTTCACATAAATTTCAAACTTTATTAAAGATTTATTGATATTTTCGTTACATGAGACTGGTTTGACATAAAGTATAGCTTGTTATTTTCTCATTATCACTTGAAATTTCTTGTCATGAACTTCGTAAATACTGAATTATGTCATGAACTTCAAGAATACAGATATTTGATTTATCTCGAAATAACGTTTCACAAACTATTATGAATATTTCTGAATCATTATATATCAACAAAAGAAGTTATGTACGGCATAGGTTAATTATTTTATGAAATATTTAAGACGAATAAATTATATTTATTATGGAACTGAAAATCACTTTAAAATGCATACTTAGATAAAAACAATTATTTACATTCAGTATATTTCCATACACATTCGTGTTAACCACGTCCAATTGTCAGTAAAGCTTAAGGTCCAAAAGGGTCCCAGGTATAGTACTTGATTTTAAATTGCAGAAATGTTACGTGGGACAAAAATATTTTATTACAACATTTTTACATCTACACAAAAGTTTTTAACAAGTTTTTTAAGTAATAAACAAACATGTGGACAAAATAGTTGAAAAATTCACAGAATTTCCTGGTCAGTCATCATATTCAACATCATATTGGTCACGTGATTCACAATACGTAATTTTTGAAATGTGATTTCCAAAGTTCAATTGTTCAGAAGTTGAATAATGTATTGTTGTGTATTTACGTTCTGTAGTAGCCGCCCGCGTTCCTTTGAAAGAATTCTTCATAAGAAGAGAAAGTTATGAAATCGTGCGCCAGAAAAATTTGAAATTTCGCCAGAAAAAACCTTATTGCTGGGTTCTGGTAATGAAAAAGTGGATAAATCCTGTTGCTAAATTTAGAAAAAATCCTCTACCTCGTGGTGTAGCCATAATACATGTTTTGTTGGTTTCTGATACTGAAATATCGATTGGCGACAAAATCTCCGTCCGTCTGCCTGAGTGTAATCAACGCTAGCTCTTAAGCTGTTCAGCCGATTTTCTTCAAAATTGATAATCCTCAATCGATCTTAATGAATTCGTGGCTTTGGGAGTCTCAAAGGAATATTTTGATTTTTGATGGTACTTCACATGAAGCCTCAAAAACATTTTCAAAATTTTCTCAAAAACGACCCCAAATTTTTTATTAAATTTTATTGTTGAATAGTGCAAAGTTTGTTTAAGAGAACGGCTTAGACTTAATTTTCGTTGATATTCCCGATTATTCGAAAATTACAAAAACATTAAACTACAAAATTGAAAATATAAATTTTTGCCTTAAACAAGTCATATTGTATAAAATTAGCTCTTTAAAAATGGTCATGTACAAGTTTTCAAAGAAATGAAAATAGTTTTTTGGTATTTTAGGCTTGAAATTGTCGCAATTTTTTCAAAAAATCCGCTCCAATTTTTTGTTTAAATTTGTTTCACTTTTGTAATAGAGAACGGCAAAAAATATGGTGCAAGTCGCATTTTCAGGTATTGCTCAGTTTTTCAAAAATTGCAAATTAGTTTTAATCTACAGAATTGAAGATAGAGATTTCGCTCAGACAAAGTCATCCTTTCATTATCGGTACGAGAGAGAGGGCCTATAATCTAGTCGTCTGCGCGTGCTGTGGACCCAGTACAGGACCTCTCCAGTACGACACGAGCCCGCGCCCACCCTTCGCCTTGCGATGTCGCCCTCCTCTACCGGTATCAGTTAGCGAATGCGATTTGAGAGCAATTC